GACCACTTCGAATTATTTTATTCGATTAAGCTAACGTGCCTATCACGTTGAGGTTGGCTACGCCGGGATTCGTTTTCAGCAAGTAGATATCCACACAAGTGGACCTTGTTGGAGCATACGTAATTCTAAAATGTAGCATCGTGCTACAGATGGCGCTTATTGCGCCATTTGTAGTATTTTCTGAATCTACTTCAAAATTTCTCAAGCGATTTCGTTAATTAGAATTAATTTAGTTCCGGTACCTATTTCCCACGTAATATTGCACGTTTTTAAGATGATAAGATGGTTTTTGTTTTGAGGTCTAAAACCGATCATGCGAATGAGCCGATTTAGCCACAAACCCTCTTTGTCTCTCTTCCTTCCTTTTACTACCCAGTTCCCCCCTATAACCATATCGTTAATTTGGCTGTACAGCAAAAAATCGTGCCGCGAATACAGAAGTGGCGTTGCAAACGTTGAATTACTTAGCGCGATGGAAGCCATTTCCTCAGGCGGAATCATTCGCTTCTACGCCCAAAACTCGGCGTTAATCTTTCATTCTAACAATAGCCACTACCAACGACGTTAAACAAATGAAATAAAATTCATGAATACCTTAAACAAAACGAAAACACTTTTGTGTTCGCGAACGGTTATTTTGCAAATTTTAAAACAGAGGAAAAACGTTGGAAACAATTAACATTTATTAATTTATGGATAGATTTAGATGTTGCAACCCATGTCAAGAAGTACGCAATGCATGATTCCGATTTCAGGATACAGAAACCAGCACCAGAACTTTGTAGGTACCTAGACACATTAAATATTCGTTTATCATGAAGGACGTCCATCAGATTTTCCGCTTTTCGTCCAGTGTCCACCGTCATTGTTGATACACATGTGCCTCAAAGGATAACAAAAAGAGACTGCTTTCAATTATTAATTCCTCAATTACGGCAGCCATTCAGAGCATCTCCCCTTCTATACCGACGGATGCTGAGAACCGACGTCGGGACTAGATAGAAACGCGATTGTAAACTCCACTACGACAACGATGTCGGATGAGGTTGGCGTCGTTATTCCACGTCGCCGTCGCCATAAGCAAGCGACGACCTTTATGTTGTTGTTGTGTTATTGTATTCCCCCTTGATACTGAAGAAGTCCTTTAGTTATCATTAGAAAAGCTATAGGGAGGGCGCAGGAAAAAGGAAAAAAGCCCTAATTCTATGAAGAAAACGGATATAATAGTTACTCAGACAAAGTTGGTTGGTTTGAGAACACAATTCCTTCTGCATTCTATTATAAACAGTATACCCTATCTGGGAATAAAAATTTAAATTTCATTACACAAATTGAAAGAAAACTCCAAATAAAAGCTTGTTTGCCAGATATAAACAGATAGCTGTAACTTTTTTAGACAAATATTTCCTCATTATTCTACCTACTCTACGTGTTAGAATCGTACCTATGTAAAAAAGGTAAAATAGAAGTATTTTGAATACACATTGTACTATCCGTCAGCGTATTTTTCAGATCAAATTGTGATAATTCAATAACCTATATATTTTTATTCAAGAAGTCAAGTCTGAATAGGGCCCAGTCAAAGTAATATTAAAAAGTTAAAAAACTGCTACAGCAAATTGTGTTCAATATGAGCAACAGAGCATCCTTTAAAGGAATGGTGCAATATTTTTACAAGATATTGGGATCCGTCAAATGGGAGGAGCCTAAAAACATGCCGCCGATTAGGGAAAATTTATTGTAGTTCCTACAGTGTACCGTGCAATTTCCAAGTTTTTAAATTACGATAAAATGATAAGTATTGACTCAATATGTGATTCAGCTGACACAAAGCCTCGGAAAGGAAATTTCGTTGAAGGTGAGCGTGTTTTTAATGCCAATCACATTATAAAATTCGGAAATAACAAATCCGGAAGCTAGCCTTCAAATTCCGTCAAGTTTACTGCCTACTTTTTACAAACTTCGGATTTAAAAAGTGATTCACGTTATATAATTGGTGAGGTGATTCTGGGTGATTTAAGCAATNGCCACTAATTGCTGAATTAATAATGTTGTTTACTACAACACTATACATATTTCGTTATTCCGGTGAAACGTACTATAAATTGGGGGTTGTTCCGATGCGTTCACACGCTGTCAAACATTAACTATACCGATTAAAATGAAAATTCTTTGGTGCGAAAATTTAACCGTTCACATCAGTAGCGCCTCTTACGTATCCTCTTGACGAAATGCTCATTGTGAAAGGGGAAAAGGGAAAAAAGAGTTTAAGCGCGTTCGCGTTCGTTGATGCGGTGCCAGATAGGTAGGCTATTGTATAATAATCGATTAGGACGAGGTGGCAACAACGAATTTTGGCGTCTACCATTATCGTTTCAATTCACTTCGTGCTCATTCAACGATTATTGCCATCCAACAACGCGGGAGTCGATATTGGGTCGTTGTTTTTCCGGTAATAAAACCAACACAACATTGCTAAACCCTAATTCTTCTTAAACCCTGATATAGAATCCGCATGACGCATGAGTGTCCAAAATTGATATAAGAAATTGTTTTCTTGACATTTACGTAAAACGTATGTAGAAATATCGCATTGTAATCGAAGAAGGAGATCTTCTAGAACCGTAGTAGTGAATACAGTGTTCTATGAGGTCTTTGCAAGCAAACCACACGTTTATTGAAATATGTAAAAAAAATCAAATATTAGATTGGCTAATGGTTAATTTAGAAATTCGAAAACGATTGTTGAGGGTGTATGTATGGAGCGCGGCGCTGTACGGATGCGAAACATGGACGGTGAGCGCGGCGGAAAATAAAAGCCTAGAAGCGTTCGAAATGTGGTGTTACAGGCAAATGATGAGGATACCGTGAATAGAGAAGGTTAGAAATGAAGAGGTATTAGAAAGAATAGGAGAACAGAGGACTCTATGGAAGTCAATAAGAAATAGGCGAAATAGGTTTGTAGGACACCTTATCAGGCATGAAAGGCTAGTCAGAGATATATTATAAGGATGCTGCAGAGACTTTTGTACATTTTAAAATTTAGCTCCTAAGAAGCTCCCTTTGAGTTAATACGTTTCTGTTGTTACTGATCAATAAAGTACAATTGGAGTTTTACTATTTTCCATTACTATTACAATTAAACCACCGAACCATTGCCAATCTTAATATAACCAACAAAAATAATTTATTTGGTTTTGCCATTGTAGATGGAATCAACTTAAAAAAGTTCTTGACGCGTCCCTGTATTAGGTATATATTTATGGTATCAAAAAAAAAAACAATGACACCGAAACTACAATGACCACTACAGTTATAAATTATACATAAGGGTAACATTGGAAGCGATTCTAAAAATTTTTAACGTCAATCTCGGCCCGTCCTTCGCCGATTTCTTTCCTTTTTTCACGAAAATCGATGTCCGCAAAAGTGCGTTGTCATTGTAGAAGCTTTATTGTTCCGGAAAATAATTGCCGAAGCCCACTCTAATAACGCGCATATCAAGACCAAAAACATTAGAGCTTTTCTTCTTTCCACACTAACAACTTGTGCATGTTGTCTGACTAAGCCTGGAGTAATCCGATTCCGATGAAATAATAACTAAATGTAATTTTAAGTTGAGCTCTACGTTATTCTAAAAAATCCTCCCGAATTAGGTCAACACTTTTCACGAGATGCGTAAACAAACATACAAACAAACAGACAAATAATCTGGTAACGTAGTAGTATAACTGCCTTAATGCATTCTCTCATTTATCTTTTATACCCTCCCTCGCTCGTTTATACAAATACATGAATGTACGTACATTATAAGCTCCCATAAACGGGCTTCAATCATACGTTAAATATTAATATATAAATTGACGATGAGTGAGATTGATCGTTAGTCTTTACAACTTACCTTTGGGTGTGCTCTCCTAGGAAATGCTACTTTAGGGTCAATCTGGAAAAAAGGAATACACTGATGAAGTAATTTATTCAATTTTAATCCAATATTTACTGTAACTATAGATAAAATAAACGCAAATATTAATAGCTAGTTCGACTCGGTATAATTTCAAATCATCGTCCAGTGGGGAAAAAATAGACACTGGCGTAAAATTAAAAGTCATTTGAACAGAATCGTATAAAAACATACTACAAAATAAATATAAAGTAGCATTCAAAATTAGCAAACACGAACAGTATATATCACTAACATACAGTATATATACTGGCCAAAAAGGATCCGCGTGATTTTTAAACCATTAAACAAAACTTTATTTTGATAATATAAATTAATTAACCAGTTTTAAAAACGTCGCCATGTAATTTTAAAACATACGTGTACAATAAACCTACAATTATGAACGTCATACTGTAGAACATCGAGTTTAAGTTAATTTATTTATTTAGTCTGAAAACATTAAGAGTTATAGTTTTTAGCATTAAACAAATAGATATTCTGTCCATAAGAACACGTAGTACTGCTGGACCAACGAAACCTGACCCCTCACATTGTACTGCCTACAGGTGCGCGGTATTCTGTGTTAAGATAAATCATTAAAGTTCAGCTTTTCTTCAAGCTAAGAACACAGCGCATACAAACTGACTCGGCTGTAATTTTCATAATCAATATAGTGAACGAATAAATAAACATAATAATAACCCATAACGTTGGTGTAAATAATGTGTTACCAATGATCAACCCCTTGTGCCCGAAAGAGACCGACATCCTTTTCTAGCCGAATGCAGGTGAAAAACTCAGAGGTCACCTCTCGATGGTTCAGCTGTACATAAGTTATTGAGTAGCATTTAGTTAATAAAATGCCACTGGAAGCGCATTCTATTGTTAAAGCATATAAAACTACCCTGAATATTATAAAGGTTTTACCAAATCACGAAGGAGTAGTAGTAGTATTTGTACTGAAATTCTTCAACAATTCGATTCTAAAGAGCGGTGTTGTATCGGCACTTCTTTTTGAAAACACTACGGAGAGCAAAAAAAGAAGAAGGTACCGATACTGATCGTGTCGGCAATAGGGAAAGGAGTCACGTTTTCAAACCTTTTCCTTCATCGTCTTCGCTATTGTACTATGAAAGGGATGACTCTCCTAAAACGACTGCTGGTCGTCACGATTTTCCGACAGTGTTGTAAATGGACGGCGCGGCGTCGAGAGCGTTTACAGACAAGAAAAGCAACCGAGGACATGACAGTGACAACGTATGTATATATGTACTACAGTCGTCTTGACAAAGACTTGTGAGACTGCTGTACGTTAAAAAAAACAACCCTCATTCCTATAAATATTTCTGTATAGATTACATATACGTATGAACGGCTCAAAAAAACAAAACTACAGTGTAGTCTGTTTTGTACGAGTTCGCATATAGCAACCAACTGTTTTTAGCAACGTAAGTATAGGCGTATGTTTGGTTTTAGAATGAGTTTATATCTACCTGTATAAAAGGACATTTGTTTATTACGTCTTCGCTTACAACGACCGATCGCTTTTAACGACAGGATTGCACACATAATTGTCCGGTTACAACGACGAGTTTACAAATTAAATCCTATATAAGAAGCTATCTCCGCCCCGCGCACCCCCTGTGCCGACACACCGCTGCCCTGCTTGAAATGCGACTGTTTATTTTATGGCAGTACCTACATAATTTGCGGGTAATGAGTGAGTACGCGTATAAAAATGGCTTCTACAAAAAGAAAAAGTTTCTCCATTGATGAAAGAAGTGTTATAATACAACGGTTAGAAGATGGCGAGTCGAATGTAATAATTGCAAAGGAATTCGGTGTAAATCATAAATGTTCTTTTATCTGCTGGTCACTTAAATATGTATTAATAAATACATAATGTATGTGATTAATCAAACACAAAAATTGTCTGTTCGTTTAGTACGCCTTCCGGTTACTACGACGTAATATCACCGATCCCTTGGCCGTCGTTATAATCGGATTCTACTGTACATTCTAATAGGTACAGGTAGCAGTTTTCTTTGGATGCGTCAAGTATGACAACATTTCGTGCATGAGTTTTGACGAAATTGGTGCAAGATACACTACTATCTCAGTAACTACATATCTATTGATGTTGTTAACCGCTTTCAGAAAGTCGACGAAACGCTACGTCCAGGCGTTGATTTCAGTCGCGGTTTATCATCCTCTTTCTTCTTGATGAACTTTATTAACAAATCAATTTTAATCTTTGAGTGATGAACGGTAATTAATATGTTTATATGTATGTACAAACATTAATTTCATTAGTATGAATCCCCTTCCTTATCATTTATCCTTTGCAAAAATACATAGGAAGGTTTTTTCGAAAACCATTTATTAAATTTTTGGTAAATAGAAAATGGTTTTTCTTAGGTTCTACTTTACAATTTATAGCCAGATATTTCCGCAAGTATTTTTTTTTCCTATTCCATTCCATTAGTTCAGCCAGGGTGCGAGATGGGTGTTGGAAAAAAATTGTACGAGATCCTTTTTCATACGTGTTTTTCATTCGGCAACGTCGCTTTCGAATCGATGAAAAGCTTTATCGCCATTCTGCGAAAAGTACCTATACAATCCGCTTTCCCGCTGTCACACACTGATTGCCTCTAATGCATTTAAATCGCGAGGGATGTAAAAGAAACGGGTGCGATTTGTTATTCCTGAATTCCTCCGCTACCTGCCGATTTGCATACCGGGTTTCTAGGCCGACGAAAACACCAAGAAAAAAAGTATCAAGAAGTAAACTGTGACGACGGTTCGCCGCAAAAAGGAAAACGAGAGAGAAAGACAACTACTATGATTCCTAAGAAAATATGGCAAAACACAAAAATATATATACAGCGTACGCGAACTTGTGTGTGCGTGTTAGGGCTATCTAATAAAAATTCATGAGAGAAAATACGAGAAAAAAAACGAGAAAGGTGGTCAAACTTTCTTCGTTATATGTCAACAGACATGGGATATATCATAATGTATTGAAAAAACCGTATATTTTCGTGAAACCTTCTTAAAGTGTGTTGGCTTATATTTTCTTTCAGGAGATGTCGATCATATACAGGAAGAACCCTTAAACTTGAAACAAACAACAATATTTAAACGTGTCAAATTGGATGTTCAATAACTAATAAAAGATTTATCAAAATTAACAAACGGCACACAAACATTACAATAGCAGCTACAGGCCTGACGCTGGAAGCTGGCGAAAATTTTAAAATGGCGTGGATGCGCGGTGGCAAAAGGAGGCAGTTTTAGGTATAAAGATTGCAGCCCTTTTTCTTCAGTATTCCTATCAGGGGCGTAGATTAAATATTTAAAAATAGGAGTCAGTGAGCAAGTAATAGACAGACAAACAGAAGAACTAATTGTTGATGTTGGTGACAGTGATAGAGATTCCCATGATGACAGTGAATGTGAAAACTAACTATAAAACAAAAGCAATAGGTTAATTTTTTCTTTTTGATAAGTCATGTTTTTACATTATTTTCTAGTACGCTACTGTCCTATCTGTATTAATACTATAATTTACGCCTACTGAAAGCTTATTTGTGTATCGGTTCCAAGTGACTTACCCAAATAGGTCATAAATGGGCAAGTACCTGCGCGACCGCTCGTCAGCTTCTTTCGTCAGGCCTGTACCTATGTTTGTAAGTCTGTTTTCAACTTCAGTCCGGCCCTGATTTTTGTAATTCTGTTCCTCTAATCCCGCCTATATTGTTATTTTCAATATTAGTAAAATCCCGTCAAAATTTACTACTAGGTTAGTAATAATTCTACATTTGATAAAATAGAATTTAACTGAGCAAAAGATTAGATGGTATATGAGGATATTCATAAGCAAACACAATTAAAAACCGGGAATGCGATTCAATCTTATTCGTCAACATTTTCCATTTAACTACTTACAAGAATTCTTTTACCAAACAATTGTTGTATATAAAAGACATTCAACAATTTCTTTAGGAAGAATGGTAAACAACTGACGTAAAACTGAGTAGACAATCCAGTTGAAACATGCGATTCTTTGTGGAAAGACTGAGTAAATAGATATTGCGAAAGCGATGCATTCAAATCTCCATTTTCGGGACGGAGAATAAAGGATATTCTGAACGAGCAATTTTACTTTAAAAAGATGAAGTGGAGTAGAGAATTCTTTGATTTAAGGACCTCATAAAAATAATAATAACACGTTGCATTCTTATATTTGAATACTTACATACATATTCAATTTAAATGCGAGCGCGTACAGAAAACGACGATGACCTAGTTACATTTTTATAATGTTTACCATTACAATATATAGTTGCATTAAAGAGAATTTCTTACAACTGTACACTGTGCATATAATATTTAATATTCATTCATATTACCAAAGAAGTTGCACATGAAATACGCTTTAGATCGCATGTTTCTTTTTATCACTTTATTATAACAGACATCTTGTAAAAAGGCGGAACCCATAAATTTTTTCGAAAATCGCAATCGCCTTACACTGCCGAGGCAAGATATCGATTTTCATCCTAATCGGAGAACATACACATTTGGCAGGGAGAGAAGTTATGTTGTAGGGGGTAAATAAGGGGGACCGTAAGGAATTTCGCTCCTACGAGGAGTTAGGCCTTCAGCCTCACTCGCAGCATGGCCACAGCTTCGCCTCGGCCCAACCGCACGAAGACGTACTTCAAAAGGGGGGTGACTGGGTGGGGGGGGTCGGTTAAATTTTTGTATTGTCATCGGTCTTTAATACGTGTGCAAATTTTCAAATCAATTGGATATCTTAAAATACGTGAAAATTGCGTTGAAAAATTCCATTAAATAGATATATACATACAAGTCAAGTTAATAAAAGCTTGTCAAAAATGACGATTTATTGTTTTTTTAGGGTTATATTTCAAGGTATTACCTCAGGATAGGAAAGAGTGGCGGTACGTGTCTAACCAGCCTTAGGACTGACG